GGAAGATGAAAACAGTATGAATAGCACCAGAATATAGTCAGATATTGCCAAACCTGGAGTTAGAAAACCAAAAGGAAGAACATGCTCAGAATTTCTCAGCCTGAAAGAATTGAAGAAAATATTCAAGTCTCAACTTGCAATATTAAAGGATTCTGTGGGCAAAATATTGAATGATACATTAAGCATCAAAAGAAAACAGAAGATACTGGTGAGTGGAAGTGGGGGAAAGGCAGCAATGAAGATATTGGCTAAGTTTGACCATTTTCCACAGACTCCCCATTGACCTGGAGATAAGAGAGAGAAGAGGAAGGGTTGGTCCAAAGTATGGTGAGACCTGGGGAGTCCTGAGCCCGTGGACAAGGACATAGCTACCTAGGGCTAGAGCTGAGAGCAAAGCATTCAGCTGATATGAAGTGAGAGGAGACGCACAGGAATGCCCAAACTTACAGATAGTATCCATTTGACCTAGCTTCCATGGCTTGATCAGAACTCCATTAGAGGAAGATAAAAAATATTTGATAAAGAAAACAAATGTAAATTGCTACACTTTGATGAACTTGACCTATACTTGGGATGTACTACCTCAAAATATCAAGGAAGAAGGAAAGGAATCTTCACAGCAAGGATCAATCCTATCCCCTCTATACACAGGATTAATAGTGATGGGCAACTTAGACACTGGCTACCTAAAATGGCACGAAGTGATTGGCTTATAATTTTTCAAGAGGGAATTTAGTTTCAGAGTGTGAGAGGGAAGGTAGAATCCTCACTGAATAGTTTTCATCTGGTCTAGACGGGTCTGGTAAAAGGATGGGGATAAGATTCTTATGATTCAATAGTAAGTAATTGTTACCATGACTAATTGCAGTTGTCACAACTGTAAAGGTAGAAGTTTTGTAAAACAAAGGGAAGAGTAGTTAATCTTATATTCCAGGTACAGAGGACCCTAGGACCATCAAGGGAGAAGAGCACGAGTGGAACATGGGACCCGATCCAGAGAAGCAGCGATACCAGAGATGGAGGCAGAGATGAGGACATGGAGAGATAAAGCTGCTGAGGACTCTAGACTTATGGAAAGAGAAAGACTGTGTGCGGGTGGCCAGGAGGCAGGATTGCAGAATGTGCCCTTTGGTTGTTTAAATGATTATATATTCTTGAGTGTTTTTGTGTGCATCCCTCCCAAAAAAACACAGAGGGAATAGAAACAAATACTGTTGAATGATGATGCACAGAGGAGATTGTAATCATTGCAATAAAACGATGAGTGTAAAACCGATGTTCTCTCATGTAAACTATCACTCAAGTCACAATAAAAACTTAAAGAGGCAGCATATGATCAAGAACTAATGGTATTAAAGGAAGAAGTCCAAACTGCACTGAAGACACTGGCAAAAAAACAACACTCCAGAAACTGATGGAATACAAATTGAAATATTTCAACAAACTGATCAGGCACTAGAAGCACTCACTCATCTATACCAAGAAATTCGAAAGACAGCTACTGGCCAACGGATTGTATGAGATCCATATTTGTGCCTATCCAAAGAAAGGTGACCCAACAAACTGCAGAAATCATCGAACAACATCAATACTATCACATGCGAGTAAAATTTGATGGAAGAAAATTCAAAAACAGCTGCAACGGTATATTGACAGAGTACTGCCAGAAATTTAAGCCAGATTCAGAAGAGGATGTGGAGCGAGGGATATCAATGGTGATATCAGATGAATCTTGGCTGAAAGCAGAGAATGCCAGGAAGATGTTAACCTGTGCCTTTGTGACTCTGCAAAGGCTTTCAACTGTGTGGATCATAACAACTTATAGTTAACATTGCAAAGAATGTCTGTTCCGGAACACTTAATTGTGCTCATGAGGAACCTGTACATAGACCAAGTAGCAGCTATTTGAACAGAACAAGGGGATATAAAGTGGTTTAAAATCATAAAAGGTATACGTCAGGGATATATTCTTTCATCATACCTATTCAATTTGTATGCTAAGCAAACAATTTGAGAAGGTGGATTATATGAAAAGGAAAACAGCACCAGAATTGGAGGAAGATTCATTAGCAATCTACGATATGCAGACAATACAACTTTGCTTGCTGAAAGCGAAGCAGACTTAAAATACTTACTAATGAATATCAAAGACAATAGCCATCAGTATGGACTACATTTCATTGTAAAGAAAACAAAAATCTCATAATTGGACCAATAAATAATATCATAACAAATAGAGAAAAGATTGAAGTTGACAAAACTTCATTTTGCTTGGATCCACAATCACCACTCATGGAAGTAGCAGTCAAGAAATCAAATGATATATTGCTTTAGGCAAATCTGCTGCACAAGATCTCTTTAAAGTGTTCCAGAGCAAAGATATCAGTATGATGACTAAGGTACACCTGACCCAAGTCATGGAATTTTCAATGAACTCATATGCAAGTGTAAGTTGGACAATGAATTAGCAAGACTATAGAAATTTGACACATTTGAGTTATGGTGTTGGAGAAAAATATATTGAAACTAGCATGAAGAACAAAAAAATCTGTGTTGGAAGAAGTATGATCAGAAAGCTCCTTTGTGAGACTGCCTCTCATATTTTGGATATGTTATGAGGAGAAACCAGTCCCTGGAGAAAGAAATCATGCTTAGTAAAGTGGAGGGTCAGCGAAAAAGAAGACCTCCAAAGAGATGGATTGACACACTTCAGCAATGGGCTGAAGTGCAGAATTAGGCAATGTTTCATTCTGTTGTGCATAGAATCTCTATGAGTTGGGACCAACTGGACGGCACCTAACAACAACAACATCAACAACTGTTTTCAGAATCAAGAGGTAATTAAAGGAAAAGGAGAAAAATCTAAAAACACTTCTGCTTAGTCACTAATAATGTTATAACCAACAATGCTGTAATTCAATATAGAAAAATGTTACTTAACAATTGATAGTGGTGGTGGTTATGTGCCGTGGAGTCAGTTCCAACTCATAGCGACCCTGTCTGTACAGGGTTTCCAAGGCTGTAAATCTTTACAGGAGCAGAAAGCCTCATCTTTCTCCCACGGAACAGCTGGTAGTTTCAAACTGCTAACCTTAAGGTTCGCAGCCCAATTGGTAACCACTACGCTACCAGAGCTCCTTAATTTTTTTGTTAGTATTCACCATATAATCAAAGCAATATTATATGTAAGCAACTTATAACTATTTTGCATATGTTACTCTATGATTAAAATGAGTAATAAACATTACTAAGAATTCTGTAAGGAGACATGGTGGCACGTTTGGCTTCTAAATACAAGGTTGGTGGCTCAAATCCAGCAACCACTTCTTAGGAGAAAGAGGAAGCTCTGTTCCTCTAAAGATTTTTCATTTCAGAAACCCTATTAGGCAGCTGTAATCTGTCTATAGGGTGGCTATGAGTCAGAACCAACTCCACAGTAGTGGGTTTTAAGGATTCCATATGGTCTGATATGGGAAGAGACCCATGGGGGTAGGGGACACCATGACACCAGTCCTAGTGACGACACCACTGCCTTTTTTGTCATACAAACTTGTATGAAGGACTTCTACATGTCAGGCCAAGGCAAATATCCCTTATCACACAAAGCCAGAGGTTGAAACCCTGCATTAATATGTGAATGCTCATGATGTGCTTATCTCGGTTCAAATAAATTTTATAACTTAAAACCCATTTAATACTTGCCCAGAGTCACATAATTACTAAGTGGCCGTCTGGTTTCTTCTAGAGCCAGTACTTTTAATTTCTATAGCACCTGCACCTTAGTGAACAGCCAGGGTCAATAGCTAGCATTATTGTCGTTAAGTGCCAACGAGTAGATTCTGACTCATAGTGTATAAGGGTTTATAGGGTTTGGAAGCTTTAAATCTTCACAGGGAGCAGAAAGCCTCATCTTTCTTCAGCAGAGGGGCTAGTGGGCTTAAACTGAAGACCCTGTGGTTTGCAGTCCACTGCTTATTTAAAGAACTTATGTCTTTTACTCCTGATTCATTGCTTTGCCTAGCATCTTCAATATCTCTAATTTGCACAGGAATACAGACATTTCTGTTCACTGTCATTTAAATAGTAAATGGGATCCTGTGGAAAGCAGCCTCTCCATCCTTACCAGAGGAGTAGTAGCTTGCACATCCATATAGAGAGGTCGCAGCACTGACTCAGCCTCTGGAGCAGGGGCTGTATCTGAGGGAACAGACGACTGGACAGCATGATCTACAACTGGCAAACAAATGAAACAGAGTGGCCAAATGCATCCAAGATAGCAGAAGGTAAAAGCTGGATAAAAGTGAAAAAGGAAGATCAATGGAAGCAGGGATCAAATCTCAAGGAAAAGGAGATAAAATATCTGAGAATCTCATTAAGCTGTAAGAGAAGGTAAGGGAGCCAGGGTCCTTTGAGGCCTATGTTGGGAATACACACAGCCACTGAATCGGAATGTGTAGAAAGAATAGGTGAGAACTTGCAAAGTTACTAGTGAGACGGGAGCCTGGACTAGATCTCTAAATTGTCCAGGAGAGACCTGAAGGCCAATCCACAAAGGCTCAGAGGGACTTCGGGGCAGATGCTGAGAGGTGGTGTAACAGAGTTAACCATTTGGATGGGTGGCCTGAGAAAGCCTAAGGGATAAAGCTGAAAGAGAGGATCAGACGATGTGGGGCCAGGAGCAGGCCAGAGGTGCTCTGGAATATTCAGGTGCGTAGCAACGCCCTAGGGAACAAGTCCCGGTTTCCCAAAGTGGGTAGCAGGGAACAGGACCTGGAGCGTACCGCGCACGCGCAGCCCCCGAATGGGTACCCCGGACTTCGACACGGGAGCCGCCGTCAAGGCCACGGCCGCCCGCCTCCAGGCGACTCGCAGCAGCATGGTCTACCACGCAGAATCCCCCACCCGAAGCGGCTGTGATCCTCGGGTCTGGAATCCCGGAAGTGTTACCGCGAGCCCCGGAAGTGGTTGCTCAGATCCTGAGTGCCCTACGCCCTGCGTATCGTGTAAGACGTAGAACTGAGCAACCACAGTCGCAAGCGAGGTGAGGTGGGGGCACCGTGGCGCGGGGACCGGAACGTGAAGCGGGTGGTAGAGTCACACTACGAACTCCTCCTTTCTAGACTTCCACGAGCCCTTGTGTCCGCTCCCTAATCCCCCTTTTCTGTCCTGTTATCGACTAACGGGCTAGCGCCCAGGCCCACACTTTCCTGTCCCCCACCCCCCAGATGCCGGTGGCCGTGGGTCCCTACGGGCAGTCTCAGCCAAGCTGCTTCGACCGCGTGAAGATGGGCTTTGTGATGGGTTGCGCCGTGGGCATGGCGGCAGGGGCGCTCTTCGGCACCTTTTCCTGTCTCAGGTGAGGGACGCGAACCTAAAACTCTGGGCGGGACTGCCGGATCTTGCGCCCCACCCCAATCCCGCGGGGAGCCCGAGTAATTTATTTTGTTCCATTTCACTCAATAGGCTTTTTAGCCAGACTTTTTTTTTTTTTTAACAACACATTTATCTAGGAGGGACTGGTTGAAAGCCTTATTGTGTAAGAATTTGTTTTCTGACCTTAGGCCAAGTGGTAGTGATGAGTTTTGCTCAAGTATAGAGTCAAATCAGTAACGCCTACCTCAAAGTTCTAAGGATTAAACCAAAGATCACTTAGCACAGAATGTGGCACTTACTCAGTGCTCAATAAATGAATGTCACCACTGTTGCTGAAGTTGTTTTTATTTCCAAACCCTACTGCAGTCAATTTTGACTCGTTGTTAGGTGCCAGTTGTTAGGTGCCATCGAGTCGTTTTCAACTCAGAAATACATCAATTCTTTCTTCTAAGTCTTCCTTACTCATTGTCCAACTTTCACATGTATATGAGGCCACTGAAAATGTGGCCTGGTTCAAGCGCATCTTAGTCCTCAAGCTAATGTCTATGCTCTTAAAAATTTTAAAGAGGTTGTATGCAGCAGATTTGCTTAATGTAGTACATTTGATTTCTTAACTGCTGCTTCCATGCAGGTCCAAATTGTCCTTGACATCTTCAGTCTTTTCTCCATTTATCATGATGATATCTATTGGCTTAGTTGTGAAGATTTTTGTTTTCTTTACATCGGGGTGCAATGCATAAGGGACTGTGATTTTTGATCTTCATCACTTTTAGCAAGCAGGTTGTATCATCTGCATATTTCTTGTTGTTAAGTGCCATCGAGTCGATTCCAACCCATAACGACCCTTAATAGGGCTTCTGAGGAGCAGCTGGTGAGCTTGAACCGCCGACCTTGCAGTTCAAATGGCTTTGCAGTCTGGCGCATTAACCCACAGTGCCACACCAGCAAGTTGTTAATGAGTCTTCCTCCAATCCTGATGCCATGTTTTTCTTCATATAACCCAGCTTCTCAGATTACTTGCTCAGCATACAGATTGAATAAGTATGGTGAAAGAATACATTCCTGGCATACAGTTTTCCTGATTTCACACTATTTGTTATGCCCTTGTTCTATTCAATTGACTGCCTCTTAGTCTATGTACAGGTTGTTGATGAGCGCAATCAAGTGTTCTGGAATACACATTCTTAGCAATGTTATGCACAGCTTTTCATAATCCACAGAGTAAAAGAATTTCCATAATTAATAAAGCACAGGTAAACATCTGGTATTCTCTGCTTTCTGACAAGATCCATCTGACTTCAGTTATGGTAGCCCAAGTTCCATATCCTCATCTGAATCCAGCTTGTGTTGGGCCCTGTCGATGTACTGTTACAGTCATTTTATAATTACCTTCAACAAAGTTTACTTACAAGTGATTTCTTATTGTTCAATGACTTCTACATTCCAAGGGCTCAACTCTCCTCTCTTTGGAATGGGTGCAAATATTGATCTCTTCTAATCAGTTGACCAGGTAGCTATCTTTGTTTTCTTGGCATAGATGGGTGCCTCCAGTACTTCATGGTGGTGGTGGTGGTGGTGGTGATGTGCTGTGGACTTGGTTCCGATTCATAGCAACCCTGTCCAATGCTTCATAAGTTTCTTGAAAGATTTCAGTTTGTATTCTGTCCATTCCTGGAGCCTTTTTTCTTGCCAGTACCTCTAGTTCAGCTTGGACTTCTTCCTTCAGTACCATAGGTTCTTGATCATATGCTCCCTTCTTGAAATGGTTGAACATTGGCCACTTGTCTTTGTACAGTGACTGTATATACTTCCAATTTTTTCTTGATGCTTTTGGCATCATTCAATATTTTGCTCATAGAATTCTTCAATATTGCAGCTTGAGGCTTCAATATATTCTTCCCATTCTGTCAACTTGAGAAATGCTGAGCATGTTCTTTCCTTTTGATTTTCTAGTTCCAGTGTTCTTTGTACATTTCATTATAAAACTTGACTTTTCATCTTGAGCTGCCTTTGAAATTTTCTATTTAGCTCTTTGACTTCATTCCTCCCATTAGCATTAGCATTTCTATACTAAAGAGCAAGTTTCAGAGTCTCTTCTGATACTCATTTTGGTCTTTTCTTTCTTTCCTATCTTTTTAATAACCTTTTGCTTTCTTTTTATATGATGTTCTTGATGTCATCCCACAGCTCTTCTGGTCTTGGGTCATTAGTGTCTAATAAGGAAGAACGTAGAAAATTGATGAATTTGAATTATGGTGTTGGAGAGCATTGAAAGTGCCATGGGCTGCCAAAAGAACCAACAGATTTGTATTGGAAAAAGTGCAGCCAGAGTGCTCCTTGGAGGCCAGGATGGCCAAACTTCGTCTCTCATACTTAGGACATATTGTCAGGAGGGACCAGTCGCTGGAGAACGATACTATGTTTGGTCAGGTGAAGGGTCAGAGAAAAAGAGGAAGACCCCCAACGAGATGGATTGGCCAAGTAGCAGCATCAGTGGACTCAAGCGTGGCAACAATAGTGAGGTTGGCCCAGGATCAGGCAGTGTTTCATTCTGCTGTGCGTAGGGTCACTATGAGTCGGTACCGACTCGATGGCACCTAACAACAACCTAACAATTCTTGAGGTGGTCTTTAAATTGAGGTGGGTTATGTTCAGGATCATACTTTGGCTCTTGTGGTTTGTTTTGTTTTCCAGCTTAGCCTGAACTTACATGTGCAATTGATGGTGCATTCCACAGTCGTTTTGGCTGATAATGAGTTTTTCTACCACCTCTTGCCACAGATGTAGTCATTTTGATTGTTAAGGTATTCAATCTGATGAGATCCACGGATATAATAGCCTTTTATGTTGTTTCAAAAAAAGGTATTTGAAATGAATATCATTGACCTTGCAAAATTCCGTCTTGTGATCTCCAGTATCATTTCTTTCACTATGGGCATATTTTCCAACTACTGTTACTTTGTTTCCAACCTTTGCATTCCAATCAACTGTAATTATCAATACATCTTGATCACATGCTTGATCAATTTCAGATCAGTTAGTAGAGTTCTTAAATTTCATTATCGCTGGCTTTAGTGGTTGGTGTGTAAATTTGAATAATAGTTATTAGTTTTACTTGTAGGCATATGGATATTGACCTGTCAGATATCATTGTATTTCAAGATAGAGCTTAAAATGTTCTTTTTGATATTGAATGCAATGCCATTCCTCTTGAATTTGTTCCCAACATACTAAAGCATATGATTGTCAGATTCAGAATGGCCAATACCTATCCATTTCAGCTCACTAATCAATCTTTACACTTTCCATGTAGTTTTTGACAACTTCCAATGTTCTTAGATTCATGCTATGTATATTCCATGTTATGAAGATGTTTCCACTTGTTTCTCTTCATTTTAAGTTGTGTCCCATCAGAAAACGAAAGTTCTCAAAGTTTTACTCCATTTATATCATTATGGTCAACTCTGACGATATTCACAAAGTTTTCAGTGGCTTCAAATTCAGTAGTCCACGTCTCCTTCTTCCTTGTCTTAGTCTGGAAACTCTGCTGAAAACTGGTCACCATGGGTGACTCTGCTGGTATTGAAATGACTGGTGACACAGCAACATGAAAACCACCACAGTATGACAGGTTGACAGATGAGTATTGGTCCGGCTTGTAGTGACTCTTTCTGGTTGCATGTTGAGACATTTTCCTATCCTGGAAACAGGATGTAGAGATGAAACCATTAAACTCAACTTCGAAGGTCGTTTTAACACCAAGAAATAATCTAAAAGACAAATGTCAATGTGTCATATATGCCTTGGAAGACTAAAGGATAAACTAAAAACTGGTTTCCATGTACTGAACACTGTATCTACTGTCCTACAAACTGAAGAGAATTATGGCATCAGATCCTTTACCATTATTCACCTCAGGTGGCAAAAGATAATGCCCAGCAAGTGGTAAGTTATGTGGATTGCCAGACCTAGACTGCTTGATTCATCTTCACTAGCACAGATTGGCAAGGGGCATTTAGTACTTCATGTATTTGTGTTACCAACTGGCCCTATCTTGGTTTCCTTTTCACAGGATCGGAATGCGGGGTCGGGAGCTGATGGGCGGCATTGGCAAAACCATGATGCAGAGTGGTGGCACATTTGGTACATTCATGGCCATCGGGATGGGCATCCGATGCTAACTGGTGCATCAGTTGCCCACTACATCTACCTTCTCCTATCAATCCCAGTACTATAATAAAACAAAGTATTTGAGTAATCAGAGTGTCTGTTACAAGCATTACACCCACTCCTCACCCATCAACACGGTTAGCTTGTTCTTTGAACAACAACACGGATGTTGTTCTTTGAAATCAGTATTAAAAGTACCTAACATCCTTACCTGCCTCCCTGCAGACACCACTTGATGCCGAAGCAGAGGGGGCAGAAAAGGATTCTACAGACCACAGCAGTGGTGCCTGCCGCTCACCCAGTACTACTTCCCTTGTTCTCAGAACCAGCCTCTGTCATGATTTACAAATCTCCCCTACACACAGTGCTCTTCTGCTCCACTTTCCTATACATACTGTGTTTTTTTCCTTCTCTGCCTCTGCCCTTGGGTCCAGGAGGGCCTACAGATATTACCTGAACAAATAAACCACCTGTCCCTCCTGTAACTGTAGGCAACACTCATCCTTAGTCCCTGGGGCTTAACAAGCCAAATCCTACATGCTAGCTCTAATCTCTCCAGGCAGTGGTGCCTGCTGCTTACCCAGTACTACCTTCCCTTGTTCTCAGAACTTTCCAGCTTCTCCAAGTCCAGGAGCCATAAACTATGCTACTGCAACAAGCAGGCATGGACTCTCCCTTCTGCACCTTTTGATGCTGCTGGCCAAGGTCCCAGCACTTGCACAGATGGTTCATAGCAGTGGGCAATCTTCAGTTTGCTTCTTCCAGAGCTATAGGCTGGGCTTCTGGCCAAGGCTGCAGGATTCCTGCACCCCTAGCTGAAAACCCCTATGTACTCCACCCAGCACACTGACCTTCAGTGCCCTCCAGAAGAAGCTATCTTTAGCACTTATTCACACTGCCTCCCAGACTACTTACACGGTGTCCTAATGGGATGCGGGAGTCAGACCTTGCCCACTTCCCAGCATCAATGTAAGATTAGTGTGTATTTTTCATAAACTCAATGAGGCATAAACCAAATACAAGTTAATGCCTTCAAGTAGATTCTTAATAATCCCTTAGGATTTCCCAAGGCTCTAAATCTACCATTTCTGACCTGGTGAGCTGCTGTAGGATCAGCACTAGACAGCAAACCACAAAATGGATACTTCAAAACCACCAAGCTGCTCTTCAGAAACCCACTGGGTCACAAGTGGGAACTGACTCCGTGGAACTGCCTCATCTTTCTCATGGTCATAGCTGGTAGGTTCTTCCTGCATAGAAAGCAACCTAGAACCCACTTTGCAACTAGACTAGCTGTTAAGTGCCACAGAGTTGGTTCCTACCCACAGCAAGTCTATATCAGTTTCTAAGCAGCTGGTGGGTTCGAACCACAAAGTTTTTGGTTAGTTATTAAGTACTGGCTCTGACTCATAGAACACAACCTTGTCGCACACCTTTCCCAATTTTAAAACATTCAGTGTTCCCATGCTCTGTTCGAACAACTGCTTCATGGTACAGGTATACATTTCTCACAAGTACAATTGTTCTGGAATACTCATACTTCTCAATGTTGTCCATAGCTTGTCATGATCCACATAATCGAAAGCATTCGCATAGTCAATAAAGCATAGGTAAACATCTCTCTGATATTGTCTGCTTTCAGCCAAGATCCTCCAGACATCAGCAATGATATCTCTCGTTCCCCGTCCTCTTCTGAATCCAGCTTGAACCTCTGGAAGTTCTCTTGTCAATATATGATTGTAGCTGTTTCTGTATTACCTTTAGCAAAACTTTACTCGCTTGAGATATCAGAGAGATTGTCCGATGATTTCCGCATTCCGTTTGGTCACCTCTCTTTGGAATGGGCACAAATATGGATCTCTTCCAATCAGTCAGCCAGATAGTTGTCTTCCAAGTTTCTTGGCAGAGATTTGTGCCGCCTCACTTTCTTGAAAGATTTCAATTTTTATTCCATCAATTCCTGGTGCCTTGTTCTTTGCCA